CGAAGCAATGGGGACATTTCCCAAGAAATATACCGCCTACAAACGCCAAAAAAATCCACAACGGAGGTGCGTAGTATGCGCTAAACATAAAAAACGGAGTAAAAACTACGTGGGAGTGTAAAAAATGTCTTGTAGCGTTACACATTCCAAGCTGTTTTGAAAAATATCACACTCTGCAAGATTATTAATAAATAAATTTAGTATTGATACACATGTAATTTTATCATCAGTTGATGCGTCTTTATATTCTCTTCTGGAACCCCCCGAACGCTGCCCGAACGCGCCGCGCAGTGATCTGCACTCGACTGTTCTGGCACGCGCAAACGAGAATTTCTTTGCACCGCAAGTGGTTAATATAGATGTTTATGCATGGATTAAATATTATATTAAGTTACGTTTCAATTTTTCGTTGGCTTTTCATATTAGCATTTATATGTATGTACACTTCTTTGATAGTAAAATACGTCAAATTGTTTTTATTTCAATTTTAATAAGTTTATATGTATATTTATATACATAATATTACACGCTTGGAAGATTTAAGGCGAGGGCGCTGGACCCCTATGATGGTTACAAAAGTTTTCGTATGTGTAATAAAATACATACGACTTGCTACATACATAGTATCTGAGGGGTCCTTCTTATTTAAATGTATTTTTAATACTTGTAGACTATTAAAATAAATCCAACATACTATGGCAAATTTTTCAAATCTTAGCCGAATTCACTATGTACATAAACAGTAAAATGTAATAATATGATGAGTCAACAATTTGTTCAGTGAATGCAAACACGTATTTTCAATGTAACCATACTCTGGTAGCCTCCACTCTAATAGCGAGTTCGGAAACCCGCACTGGTGCGCACTGAGTGCCAACTTTTTCGGTGCCGCACACTCGGATGATGCTCTCTGCCCCAGTGCAGTGCAATAATCCTATCGACGAAAAACTCGACTAAGCGATTTTCACAATCTTCTCTTGATGCCAATTTCTTATCACTAAGGAAGTTTTGCAATGATAAAAAAATATGGTAATCGCTTGGTGCCAGGTCCGGACTATAAGGTGGATGCATCAAAACTTCCCAACCAAGTTCCCAGAATTTCTGGCGAGTCACTATAGACGTGTGTGGCTTGGCGTTGTCCTGATGGAACACAACACCTCTCCTGTTGTCCAATTCTGGCCGTTCCTAGTCAATCGCTAGCTTCAAACGGTCCAATTGTTGACAGTAGAGGTCCGAATTTAGTGTTTGACCATATGGAAGCAGCTCATAGTAGATGATTCCTTTCCAGTCCCACCAAATGCACAACAAAACCTTCCTGTGGCCATTAGTCCTGGTTTGGCCACCGTTTGAGCCGCTTCACCGCGCTTTGATTACGATCGTTTTCGCACAATATTGTCGTATGTGACCCATTTCTTATCCCCAGTCACCATCCGTTTAAGGGGGGATCCTCATGTAAAACGCTTAAAACGACGTAATTTTTAGAATTTTTGTTTAAAGAGACGATAAAAAGAAAATTGTTGAAACTTTTATTATATGTTTAGCAACATTTTTAGATACAAAAAAATTGTTGTCATTGCCAAATAGTTTATTTACAAGTAGCAACAAAGCCGATCCTCTAAGGCCTCGGCGCCGGACTTCACAATTGGCGTACAAAATTGCGCTTGCATTTCTTCACTGAAATAGAAATACAACATTGTATTACTTTTATTAAAAGATTTCGTCGTCGGTAAACTTAAAAACTCAGTAAAAAGTGCAACATTGAAAAAATAACAGGACTTAGACAAAAACTTTCAACTTTTACGGAAAAATTTTTGCTTTAATTTTGCAATAAAAATGATTTAATTTGAACAAAATATTAAACAAGTAGGTTTACATAGAAGGAAATTTAGTAATCTGCATACAATGTCAAAGGGCCATTCGATTGTTTGAATAGTTTATGAGTAATGTTGCATGCCAATTTGAAATATGTGGTTTTGAGAAAAACGCGTTTAAAGTTTCAAGTACGGAGAAGTAACAAATTTCTTACACTCTCAGCACGCACTTGTAGGCTAATCTGTTATTCCAGGCCCACAAAACAAACCTTCTACTTTCTTATAAAAGCTTTGTTGTTCGATTTGTTGCTGTCTACGAGCTCTTCTAGCTTCTTTTGAGCTACTTTTAGTACGCCGCTCCTATCGCGTCACTCGCTGTGCATCTTGGTTTTCGGCGTAAAGCTTACATTGAGGTCCAATGTTTAAGTTTAGGGTATTAAGTCGTTTTTACAAGATTTCAGAGTGATAATTAATATGGACCGACGTGCCAGGCAGATGCCAGCAAATACCGATACACAGCAACAGTCGACATTCCGTGGAGTACCACGACGTAACGACTATGCGAGGATGTGGCGCTATAATGAATCAAAAGCGCCCGAAACCAGTAATTGGTCTGAAGTACCAAAGGAACACGAGGAACGCTACAATGCCGTTCCAAGAAGGCAGACACCTACCTAGCCGGGAGCTACACAGCTCTAAACGGGCGGCTGGATGGCGCAAGAAACCGCGCAACAAAGAAGACCGACCCCCACCTCCTGCAGCAGGGGATATGTCGCGTTTCCGTTCTAAATCGGAGACACCACCACAGCGTGATTTGTACGCTGTTGGACCTATTTCTGAGCTCGTACCAATTACCCAGAATTTTGGACAAAACCTGGACTTCTCAACGTTTCCATTGTTAGTTGAGAGAACATTTAGGGATCTGCAGACACAGGATGAGCGGCTAAGCAGAAAAATGCCGTACCCTATGTTTCTGCATTATTGTACAACCCTCCTGAACGGTTTGCTTATAGACCTAAAGGTAAACGAGAACAAGGAGGCCACTCTTATGAGTGACGGTGACATCCGTACATTTATGGACCATACAATAACTGGTCGGATTGCAGAGTACTTCTCCCTCATTACTGCTACTACAACGCAGTCTGGAGACCATATCCGTGCGAATATTGCGGATACTGTGATACCAATGAAGGGTGACGATGCGGGGTCTTTTGGACCTGTCGATGCAGCATCGCATAATAAGTACGAGTGCTACGTCTGTCCGTTAACAACACGCAGACGGTGCGAAGCGACGCTTGCCAACAATCGGAACTGGACTCCACTTCCAGCCGATTTGATCCCTGCGGGCCTGACACCTACAGTAAACTTTTTAGGTTACGATCCAATTGATAGTATCACGCCCGAGGGGCGTAACGCCATGAGCGGAGTAACCTTTCCCGCTGATGATGCCGATCATCAGCGTTCTGTGTATGGCCGCGTAAGCACATTTCTAAAAGATCACTCCTCGACAAATCTTCATAAATTGGTAAGATATGCATAGGAGTAAACACGATGTCATCATTACTCGCAGTATACAATTTTCTTGGTGAAGCACTCTCGCCTAGAGGAGCACTATCTTTTTTACAAAATTGATTTCCTTGGAAACGTCTTTTACGGCTTCGGGAAGAACG